ACCCTGAGTGAGATTAGATCTAAGCTTACTGGATCTGATTCACCAATTTTATCCTACCTCTCCTTTCTCAGCCTTTGTCTAAAAACCTTGCTCTGATTTTGTATTCTTATTTTATTCTACTTTTTTGGGGATTGCATCTGCAAAAATTGTATTTGCCAGCAGTTGCCATCAAAAAGTTTGAACACGGACTTTTCTTCAGGTAAATTATTCAAAATACTTTGAGTCTTGCAGTGTTCATAAAGCATCAAAGTCATGTTGCTTGTGTGAAATTTGAAAGGAGCATATTAATTTATGCACGCAGAATGATTTGTTACTGCATTAAAGCCAAAGTAACACTGATACAAATGAGATGTGAATAGACATACTTTATCATAAGATCACATGTTTTGAGGCTGAGGAAACCAAATACGATTGTGTAACTGGATCTGCAAAACAGAGGTAAAAAACTTTGCCCAGTTACATCAGGAATGGACCTATTAATTCTGTCTAAGCTATGATGGGATCCCCTACAAACAAATAAAGACTTAAGAAATCTAACTCATGAATAACTAATCATTATAAAGGGAAGGCTTTATGTTTAGTCTGGGTTCATTTGTTTTCAATCTTATGTTTTCTGTTTTCAGCTAGCTTAGAGATCTGTCTAATATGGGAAATTTTTTTCTTACCCCCATGGAGTAATTTACAGATGATGGCTGAGTCATCTCTTGCTCCACTCCTTGTCTAAACTGTATAGATCGGAGAAATTGCCCTGCAGTGGAAAACTGGTAAGGCTTTAATTTCAAAATGTTTTCATAGCATTTATTATTAAAACCAAACAAATCCAAAAGAATGTTCACCGCGTGACAGGAAGTCTGGATATTAGAACTGCAAGCACTAAACCTCTTCATTTGCTGTACAGGAGTAATACTATCTCCCCATGATTTGATGTGGCCGAATTTGTTTCTGCTCCTAGCTCTCAGTACAGTACTGTCTCTGACAGTTGTCAAAGGATAGAAATTGTGTGGAATAAGAAAGAAGGGATAATTACAGACTACTAATTAAAAGATTATAAATTAAGTATACTAAAAACTAGTTCTGTGCTGCTCAATATATTGAGAAATGATCTGGAAATGGACTTGGGAAGTCAGGGACAGAATTTACTGACGACACCAAGCTACTCAGGCTGGTAAAGACAAAAGCTGCAAAGAGTTGCAGAAGGATATCATGAGATTGAATGACTGGGCAATAAAATGGCAAATGGAATATAACATTGATAAATATAAAACCAGGTACAATTAGTAAAAAGAAGTCTAATTTTATATATACAGTGGTAGCTTTGATATATATTGCCATTGAGGAAATGATCCCAGGCTCGTAAAAGATGGTTCTGTGAAAATACCAGCTTCCAAACTCAGCAGCAGTCAGAAAACAAAGAGAATAATGGGAGGTGCTAGGAAAGTACCAGATGATCAAGCAGAAAGCATTGCAATGTAATTATGTGAATTCCTGGCGCATGCTCATTTTGAATACTGCAGGCAATTCTGGCTCTTCTTCCCCCTTCTAGTCTGAGGAAGGCTACAGTGGAACTAGAAATAGTGGAGAGAAGGGGAAGAAGAGTGTTAAAAATCCTTGACTGTATGCAGCTACCGTGTTCGGTATCATTAGCATTTCATCATTTAAGGCATCTGCGTGAACATGCCTTTTTCCCTATAGCTGCTGCTCTGAACTAGTTTGGCTTCAGAACTCGGTGAGGACGTACAGTCTGCTGGTGTGCAAAGGTGGGGCGGAGAATAAAGATGGGCAGAGACGTGGTGTCAGTTATGCAGAAGTTAGCTTGAAAGGAAGGTAAGAGTTTGCAAATATGCTCAGGTTTTAGTGTCGAAGGTACTTTCTGACTAGAACATACAGTTCCAAAGTCAGTACATTGGTCTTACCGAAAATCAAAAGTTTTGGCAAAGGAGGCCGGAGTTGCCCTTGCTTCAGTCTGGTCAGCTTTGATGTTCTCCCCAGGGTGCATGCCCTGGCTGCCTGGGGCACCTGTTTACGGTCCCAGAGATGAAAAGCACTATACTTGCTGGATCAGGTAACAAAATTGCAAAAAATATTGGATTTTTCTGTAACACATCATCACCCATGGTCTGACATAAATGTGAGGTAGCACAAGTGCAGGCTAATTTTTGTTCAAAGATCAGAGCACTTGAAAAATCTTGGAATTAAAATGAAGGTGCTCCTTCAAACTTTTTACTAACTTCCAGCCAAGACGCAACGCTGATGGTTGTGCTGGTTCATTCTCATATGCATGGGTGTAGCTGGAACCAGCAGGCAGACAGTAACTGTTGGCTCCCAAATGGGGCCTCCTTTTATGTCCCAGCTGTAATGTTCATAGCAGTGGGTGATTGGTCTGCAAGCAAATACCCATATTTATCTCTACAGGGATACTGTAAAAGAGAAAGGAAGGAAGATATCATCACATTAGGGGCATGTGCTTCAACATGTGTACAAATCTTACAGTGGAAATGCGTAAGGAGGAGACGTGAAGGTCAGGGGGAAGAAAGGGGCGTGATTCTACCTAGCGTATTCCACACTAGCTCTGCAGTGAGGCTTGCAGCATCTTACTTCATGCCCAGTCTAATTTCAGAGCTTTTAGGAATGAAAACTCCAGAAAAATGTGACAAGAGTGGGAGATTATACTATACCTAAGGGTTACCATGATGTGCCTCCAGGGTGGTGCCTTAATGGGGCTTCGTGACGGATGATGCTACCAGACAAAAACAGGAGAAAGAAAGTTTGAATCATCTGTAAGACAGATAACGAGCTGGAGGAATTAAAAATATTTGGGATAACTTTTAAGGTGGCACCTTTGAAATGCTGGCC